GTACTTTGGATCAAATAAATGCAGGCTCGGTGAGCAGAAGAGACTTCTTTAAAACACATTAAAAATCTTACTGTTCATAACTGTTTATAACCCGTCTTGTTTATAGACTCACGCGCTGGAGGCCGTTCTCCTCCTGATGAAGGATCTGGACGTCGAGGAGCTAAAAATCGTTCAGTCGGTCACCGAGAGCAAACTCAGATCATGCAGTCGACGGAGAGAGCGAGAGAAATCTCCCATCTGCTCATAAACACCAGCGGAAAACACTGACGACACGCTTAAACCAGCAGCCAGAGCTCCGTCTCACATATTAACACTAAAACATTGAATCTGAATCTGTTATGCTCACGTCTAAACGCCTCGCTCGTGATTGTTACCAAGTTGCCTTTTCCTGTTCAAATTAAGACGTTTTCTTAATGTTTTGCTTTGTAATGATCTAAATGAAGTGTAGCAATGTTTTGTTGTGTTGAGATAATATATGAGAATGTATTTTTCTATGTAAATAAACTCGGATGCATAAGAATATTTATTGTTCACATCGTGATCCTACAAAACTTTACAGAATACTGTACACGAGTGAGCTGCAGAAACAGGATTTAAAGGAACAGTTCACCTAAAAATGACATGATGCTGAAAGATTAGGATGAGTTTGTTTCTTCATCAGGTTTGTAGAAATGTAGCACTGCGTCAGTGTTTCAGCAATGGATGCTCTGCAGTGAATGGGTGCCGTCAGAATGAGAGTCCAAACAGCTGATAAAAACATCACAATAATCCACAAGTAATCCACAGCACTCCAGTCCATCAGTTAACATCTGGAGAAGACAAAAGCTGAAACAAATCCAGCATTAAGACGATTTTAACTAAAACACATTGAGTCCATAATCCATAATAACTCTTCCTCCAGTTACAAAGTTTTCTGGTCTGAATCAGGAGAGAAATCTGCACAGATCAAGCAGCGTTTAAACAGCTCTAAACAAATATGTGGCTGGATTTTGATGTGAGAGACAACAGGAGATGCACTTTTACACTGGAGGAAGAGTTATTATGGATTATAGACTGAATGTATTTTAGTTAAAATCGTCTTAATGCGATGTTTTTATCAGACTCTCATTCTGACGGCACCCATTCACTGCAGAGCATCCATTGCTGAGACACTGACGCAGTGCTACATTTCTACAAACCTGATGAAGAAGCAAACTCATCCTAATCTTTCAGCATCATGTCATTTTTGGGTGAACTGTTCCTTTAAGAGACCTTTAACCCTGCAACCACACAAGCTGTCTCTGTCTTCAGTCAAACCTGCCACGTTTCCTCCTGTATCAAATCCTTTATGATACAATGTTGGCAAGTTATTTATCAGAAAGATTAAGTGCTATTCAGCTAAACACATTTACTGAGCCGTGGACAGCAGTGAGGTTTTCCTGGTTTCACTCCACATCGTTTTTCTCCAGGAAGTCTGTCAGAGTGCCGTTATCCACCGGAATCAGCAGATATTCCACTCCATCAGCGCCCTGACACACAAACAACACTGCGTAAATAATCATCACTTCAGTAATTACTAGCGATGTAACGATATAATCAATATCATGATAGCAAAACTGTCTCGATATTATCGCGGTCACATGACGGGATGAAACGATAGGAGTGTGTAGTTTTTAAAATATATTTAAACTTCTTATTCTAACATTAAAGGTGTTTAAAGTTGTGTTTTGGGTCATTATGCTTTGGCACAGTATCTCAAACGAACTCAAACCGAAAGCACAATATGCTTCACCTCTTCATCAAGTCTGTTTCAAAGTGAAGCACACACTTGGTTCAGACGATCAGCTCGTGATCCGGTGTTTTCTGCGTCTCAGAACGACTCGTTCACACTGAATGAATGCAGTCCACTCCTTTATTTCACGTGCTGTGAGTTTAGCGCGCGTTTGGGAACGCAGCAGACACCAGTCATGCTTTATTTTCACGGCAGATGATGACAGCGTTTCACTAGATTTGTAGTGAGACGTGTTTCTGTAATCCTGTTTTCACTGAAGCTGGAGTTTTCCTTCTAAATAAAAGCTTAAAGTGCAGCATGAATCGCTGACAGCTAGCGGTTTAAACGCAGTCCAGATTCACAATATCTCTCTCAAGTGTAGAAATTAGGAAAGAAGTATTGTTATTTCTCTACTGTAGTGTAAAGCTAAAATAATATAGCTATGAAACATTCATTTGCATTTATTTTACAGTGCAATTGTTTTATAATATATGGCTATTACTGTTATTATTATTATTATTATAATGATTAGTTTATCTTCCTAAAACAGCAGTGTGAGTGTAATTTAGACTGAGACAGTAGATCACAAATAAAAAGAGGCTTGAGTCTCCTTTAAAGTTCAGCTACAAGTCAATTCACTGACTTTCTTCTGATTTAAGTTTTCTCAAACATGGGTTGCAGCTCTTCATTTTGAAGTGCAATAATTTATTTTTTCCAATTCTTCATTTGTCTTTTTTTTTTTTGTAAATATCACAATAAATATCGTATCATGGACTTCATATCGCGATGTTATCGTATCGTGAGATTTTGGTATCATCACATCCCTAGTTATTCTGCAGGTGTGAAGTGAGTTCAGGCGAGTTCTGACCTTCTTGTTGCGGATGAGTTTATGGTCTCTGAACTCGGTGAGCTGTGTGCGCAGCGTGATGTCACTGTTCACCAGGAACGACTCGCGACAGCGCTGATAGAAATCCTGGAAAGACAATCCTGAACAAACAACAACAATCATCCGTTTTAATAAGCAGAGGCTTCATTATAAATGCATTGAGTGGCAGTGGTGGTTGTTTTACCCGTATATGCAGGATTGTCCTTGTTCTCCAGCTGAAACTCTGCAAGTAATCTGAAGATTCCCCTGAAAATCACACAGACACACGAGACACATACATTGCTGAAAGTGTCTGGTAAATGCATTTGTTTTCACAAGTGTGTGTGTATATATAAATATATATAATGAATATTGTAATTCCCTATTTTTCTTTACATTACTATTATCATCAATATTGGACTATTTTAATTATTGGTGTATGAGTGCAGAAAGTTATTTCGTGTATTTCTCAGTTCAGACAATCACATAATAACATTTTCATGTCAGTTTCTGCCCTTTATAAATCCAGATTTGTTCCTCACTTTTGATGCATGATGAATTAATGGAATTTAGGATCAAATCTAATTGCATGTGCATCTTTTATATGAGGCCCCTGGTTCTGATTTTGGACTCCGCTTAATTAAATTAACAATTGTTTTAGTACTTTTTAAGAACCACCAGATATATGGTGACAGTGTGTGAGTCTGTTTGTTTGAGAGTGTGTGTGTGTTTATGTGTGTGTGTGTGAGTGAGTGAGTGTGTGTGAGTGAGCGAGCGAGGAGTGAGAGAGAGAGAGTGTGTGTGTGTGAGTGTGTGTATGTGAGTGTGTGAGTGAGTGTGTGAGTGAGCGAGTGAGCGAGC